GAAAGACACCTACCTGGTCGAAATAAATATTGGGACACTTTATTTTTTTTTAATAAAATCGTAAATGATTTTTATTTCTTTTATTTTTATTTTATTTGTAAATATAGAGAAGAAATGCATTGAAAACAGATAAAACTTTTTTATTTTACTGATCCTTTCCACGAAAATTGATATTGTTATGTTAGCTCCCTTAGAAATAATTATTGGGACACTGTAAGGAAAATAATTTTTAAAAAATTTATAATTGTAGAAAAAAAATGTATTTTGTTACCTTATAGTGGGTATTGCCTCCGTGCTTTGAAATGACTTTAGCCAAGCGTTTAGACATTAAATTAGCCAAATCCTGCAATGTTTTTCGTCGATTTTGGCCTATTTTTCAACAAAACCTTTCTTGAGCTGTGCCAAATTTTCAAACTGTCGTCCATTGCTGTATACTCTATTTGAGAGTATACCCCACACATTCTAAATCGGGTTTAGGTCGGGACTACAAGCTGGCCACCCCAAAAGTTCAATTTTTTAATCCTGAAAAAACTGCTTTGACACTTTGGATACGTGGATGGCGGCGTTATACTGTTGAAAAATTAACTTTTTCTCAAAACAAGTTTCGCCAAACGGTATCAAAATGTACATCTGAGAATTCATTCATGTTAATAAAAAACATATAGGGGATCTTCCGGCGTGTCCAAATGCGGCCCATACCATCAGTGACCCACCTCCGAAATTTCGAGTATAGCAGGACTTGCGTTCACGGCAGATATCTCTCCAGGACATAATTTTTCGGTTCAACTTGAATGGTCCTGACGGAAAAATGATGTCCTGCAAAGATATCCGCCGTGAACGCAAGTCCTGCTATAATCGCAATTTCGGAGGTGGGTAAACATTTTTTTTCTACAATTATACATTTTTTAAAAATTATTATCTTTACAGTGTCCAAATAATTATTTCTAAGGGAGCTAACAAACAATATCAATTTTCGTTGAAAGGATCAGTAAAATAAAAAAGTGTTATCTGTTTTTAATGCATTTCTTCTCTATATTTACAAATAAAAAAAAAAACAAAAAAGAATTAAAAAATCATTTACAAATTTATAAAAAAAAATAAAGTGTCCCAATATTTTTTTCGACCTGATATATGCATTATATCCACCAGAATGAATGCCAATATGTATGTGGAGCTCTTTTACAGTGAACTTATGGAGTTTGCTGGGAATTTGTACGGCGACGATTGGATTTATCAGCAGGATAACGCGTCAATCCACAAGGCAAAGCTCACAAACGAATATTTTAACAGCCGAAGAATTCCTCATTTTGAAATGGCCTGCGCTGAGTTCTGACTTGAATTTAATTGAAGACCTCTGGGGGATTCTTGCTGGTCGTGTATATAAAAATGAAATACAGTTTCAGACTGTACGTGACCAGAGATCAGCAATAATACAAGAATGGGCTGATATTGACATCCAAAACTAACAATCGTTGATTAATTCATTGCCAAAACGACTTAATTTAGTTATAAAAAATAAAGAAAAAAGTATTGATTATTAAAATTAAGATACCTTTAAGTTTCATAGATGTTAATCAGATTTACACACAAGAAAAGAAAAATGCACATATAATTATTTACTATGAATATAAGTTTTAATTTTGTTTTTTAGGTAAAAAAAAATTGGAAATTTTATAATTTTTTGTGTTTTATATGTTACATTATAATAGTAATAAACCTCTATATTAAGATATACTATTTTAAAAATTTGTGAACATATAATTATTTGTATGAGGTAGAAAAACATTACGGTGAAATCAAAAATGGCACAACAACGTGTAATTTGTGTATAATTAATTTAACATTTAGTTTCCAGCTCTTGGATAATACAGATCAGAGAACTGCAAAAAGCACTTCTTTCTTCATTTAATCGTACGCGAACTTTTTCAATCAACTCAACTCACTGAACGAAACACAGTGATGAGTAAAAATCCACTCATTTTGCCGTACGCATCATTCCGATCAAAAATATGACAATGTGTTGACGAAAGCTTTAGTATGTAAAGCATAGTACTGAGTTGACGAAAATCCGCTGTTGAAATTCCGATAGCGATTTTGCACTTTATTCAACTACCGAGGTAGTGTGACCAAAAAAATGAAGAAATAAGGTAATACTGAACAGTTGTTGTTTGTAAACAAAAAACAAATAAGCAAAACTGAATTTAAAACGATTGGATGTTAGTGTTTTGTTTATGTATTTCGCCGCTAAAGCATAGTATTGAGTTGACGAAAATCCGCTGTTGAAATTCTAATAGCGATTTTGCACTTTATTCGGCTGCCGAGGTAGTGTGACCAAAACAATGAAGAAATAAGGTAATACTGAACAGCTGTTGTTTGTAAACAAAAAACAAATAAGCAAAAATGAATTCAAAACGATTGGATGTTGGTGTTTTGTTTATGTATTTCGCCGCTAAGGAGCTGATTAAGAAATAGAAAACTGGGTCAAAATCAAAATCAAAATCAATCATAAATCATTTCAATGCCATTTTATGGCATTAAAATGCCTCTTGTGGGTCAAATCCCATATTATGGGCTTCGTCTTGACCGCAGAAATTAATTTTAATTTGTCCTGGCGCGTCGAAAATTTTTCGGGCCGACTTTTTTTTTGTTTGGTCAATTGACCCTCCATGTCACACCTATAAAAATAAATTCAAATATTTATTTTGACACCCCGAGAGCAGCTGCTTTTTTTTTTTGATCCGGCAACACCATTAAAATCGATAACAAAAATTTTCGTCAACTCAGTACCCGCAAAATCTAGAAGGCAAAAATTTCTTCTTCTTTCCTTTTTTACACCGTTTTTTTATATGGAGTTTGACAGCGGTCAGTCGTTGGACAGCGGATTTTCGTCAACTCAGTACTATGCTTAAGGAGCTGATTAAGAAATAGAAAACTGGGTCAAAATCAAAATCAATCACAAATCATTTCAATGCCTTTTTATGTCATTAAAATGCCCCTTGTGGGTCAAATCCCATATTATGGGCTTCGCCTTGACCGCAGAAATTAATTTTAATTTGTCCTGGCGCGTCGAAAATTTTTCGGGCCGACTATTTTTTTATTTTGGTCAATTGACCCTCCATGTCACACCTATAAAAATAAATTCAAATATTTCTTTTAACTCTTTTCTTTTCTTTTAAAAATTTTTGTCAACTCAGTACCCGCAAAGTCTAGAAGGCAAAAATTTCTTCTTCTTTCCTTTTTTACACCGTTTTTTTTATATGGAGTTTGACAGCTGTCACTCGTTGGACAGCGGATTTTCGTCAACTCAGTACTATGCTTAAATGTAAAACATAATTAAGTTTAATATAGATTTAAAATCAAAGTGCGACGAACCAATTAAATTTTTTTTTTATTTGTTATAAAATAAAATTAAAACATGAAACTAAACGCTTTGATGTAAAATCATTTTCATTGTGTTGCATTTCGCCTTCTTCTTCACATATTTCATCTGTGCAAAAAAAGATCAGTTTGCGTGAATGAGTAAAATCATAGTTCCATGAGTAAAATCATACGAGTTGATTATTGTAAGTTAAGTGCTATTCTTGTTCAAAAAAATGATTGTTGAATGAATGAGTAGCGCCCGAAATCATTATGTTGAACACGAGCCGAACAATTTGGAGTTACACAAAAAATCGCTCGCACCTGAGTGGATTTAAAATCTACAACGAAAATGTGAGCGCATCCAAGTTTGATTGGCTGATCCGAACAGTGCGATTATTCGGCTGTTGAGCGCGTACGATTTTTTTTCATTTACCCGAAGCCGTTCTCTGATACAGATTATATGAGTTCCTTGTCCAAGGAACTTCTAAGAATTTAATTTAAAATTAATTTTATGTTTTCCTTGGACAAGGAACTCATATAATCTGTATTATCCAAAAGCCATAAGAACTTTGAATTTAATTAAAAAATACATTTACGCATTAATACAATACATGTTTGTTTATAAACAAAGCTCGAATCTCAGGCCAAGACATTTATGTGTAATGAAATATATAATATAATAGTTTGTATATATATAATAATATATAATATATAATATAATATAATATAATATATAGTTTGTATAATTTAATTTATAATGAATTATAAAATCAAAAGATGTATTTTTGCTGTGTTTTATTTCTTACATTTTATATTGAGCGGCAGAATTCGAAGCGACAAAATCAGCTTCGGAACCTTAGTTGCGACTTAATATGAAGTTGAGGAAATAACAAAAAGTTGTTACACAAATTGTTTTCTTCTCAGCTTCTACTTCAAGATCACTTTCTCTTTTCAATAACTATACAAGCGTGCATTGTAACATACTTAAATATACAGGGTACTTTATTCACATTTTTAATTTAAAAAACATTTTGGAATACTAAAAACATATCAAAACATGTCTTGTAGCGATATATTAAATATCATTTTAATATTTTTTTTAAAACAAAAAATCGATACGATATTTTAAAAAAATTCGACATCCCTATTTTATACATATTTTGGACATTTGATTGTGCTCGAAAATCCCTTGTTAGTCAAAGGTAACAATCCTTTTGTGATTTTGTATTATTGTGAAACAGTATTGTTGACCTGAGTGCTAGTCTTTAGTATATTAGGATTATGGAAAAATGAAATTTAGAATGCGATGCTCTTTATGCTCGTGTTGGCAGAATTCTTCTGATCAAAACGGTCACTCTGCCCTACACTCTGTGTTGACATTTTTTTTTTACTTTTATGTATGTGTATGTGTATGTGTAATGTGGAAGTGAATATGTAGAGATGTCTAAAACCAAACTTTTGTCTTTTGTTAGCTTTACGCTTACTCATTAAATTAGAAATTTTGCGGCTGGCCTCAATAAATTGACATTTGAAAATTTTTATAAAAATACTAGCTGTATTTTGGTGTCGTTGCTAGCGCGTATTTTATTCCACGCATCGAGCAATGCTATTTAAGGTCTATGAAAGGTATTTTCAGGCGCTGAATGATTGACATAATTGACAGTTTTTTGTTTGATTTCGTCATTTATGAGTTTTAGCGTCGCAAACATGTATCAAAATAAAGAAAAAATTCGGCAAAATTTACAGAACCACTAAAAAAATGTATCTAAAGGCGCCATTTAAATTTTTGCATTATATGGACTCGATACATTTTCCATTTCATTGTGCAACGATTGTTTCAACTTTTTCGTTCCGGTGTAAAGGTAGTAACGTTTTGGAAGAACTGTTGTGAAAATTGCGAAAAAATACTTGAATTGATCGTAATTTTTAAGGAAATTTTATGAAAACAAGAGGGGATGGCTATAGTCCAGTGGTCAGCACGGCCCTATCCCAAGGGCATAGGAAATTTCTCCGAGCTCTGCCACACACACACAGTATGAATGTGTGAAACGTCATGTTCACAGCCTACTTTCTGCTATTCGTTACTAACACTAATGCGTTTAAATCATATCAATGTATTGGGATGCCGACCACTGCTATAGTCAAAGTCAGTACTGATATTAGTGAGATTGATATCTCGGTTTACATCAAAGGCAAAACGAAAGGTGGAGGACATAAGAAATATAAATATATGTATCTACATTGGGAAAACATTTTCTTTCAAGATTGGTGTGCCAGTGATGACGTTCATGACGATTTGTTCACACAGTATTTGGCCAGAGAACATTTTTGTTCGAGAACATCAGCCTAGTATTAAAAAAAAACTTGAAAGGAAAGCACCATTGCAGGATTTACCTTTGCAGTTAAGATCAGATGTACATATATCGCGAAATTAATAGAAAATCCCAATTTTCTAACTTTAAAAACAAGGTTATGGCATTTTCGAGACATCTCCGACCCTATAAAGTATATATATAGTCTTGATCAGGATCACCTTCTGTGTTAATATAAGCATGTCACTCTGTCTCTCAGTTTTACTAGTCTCTCAGCTTTAAAGCTACTTGAAACTTTGCACACACCCTTCATTTCTTTGCACTCAGTATATAAGTCGGAACGACCGGGATCGGTCGACTATATCCTATAGCTGGCATTAAACTGATTGATTAGAAATGGAATAACTTCGGTGTTTTTACGTGAGAGCTATTTTCGGCAAAATAATACGACATGCTAAATTTCATAACGATCAGCCAACTACCATATATCTTAAAGCTGCCATATAACTGAGCGATCGGAGATGGTATTTGGTAAAAATACAAACTCTTGTATTTTTGAAGATAGAAGCTTGAGGCTTTTTTTAAAGATTTTATATTGTAATAAATTGGTTTTGTTATGATATTCTCATAATGATCGGCCCACTACGTCCGATTTTTGCGATATATATCCGGTTTTAACTGCATGAGGATATCAACTTCGGCTCCGCCCGAAGCGGCTTCTATTTTCTTTTTTCCATTGAAAATGGTACTTAGAATTGGTATTGGAGTTTGTTCTGCCGTATGCTGAGCTTGGACATCCTGATATACTTTGTAGGGTCGGAAATATCTTGTCACTGCGTTGCACACTTTTGACTAAAATGATAATACCCTCTGCAAGTGTATTAAAATTGGCATACTAGTGGCAGTAAAACTCCCACATAACCATTGGCCAGCCTTCCACCTCTTCATCTTCCACAACTTCTTAAAACTAATCTCGTCACTAACATTTATCTAACAGAGTTCTAGGGAGCTACGTAGTAAACTCCCTTGACTATATTCTGATAGTTCTTGCCTTGCACCATGACATTTTTTGTTTTTTTAAATTTTTATTTATTACTTGTTCATTCATTATAGCACCTTCGTCCGAACCGCATTACTTGTCCGCTATTCAATCCGTTTCTAATCTTATATCCGATTGTGACGAGCTTGTACCCTAAAGCTTAATGGTTCGCAATGAAAATTCATGCCTTTTTTTCGATCTAGTCCTCATCAGTCTTTATACTTTCTCTGCTCCTTAGAAATTTGAACTGAGGTTTAAGATTTGGGTGTCCTATTAGATATGAAACTTGGATTTTCCGTCCATATTTCCACTATGGATAATACTGGGTGTACTTGGTTTTATTAAAAAACGGTTTAAAGAATTAAATGGCCCGTCGTTTTCTTACACAAAACCCTAGGAGGATATACGCCGTTGCGCGACCCAAAAATTAGCATTTTTTTACATTTTCTTACAAAGAAACCTTAAGATGTTTCAGGAATTTTATTTACATAAGTAAAAGCTATTTTTAAAAATATAATAGCATGCCGACCCTGTAAAACTGTTTTCTAATTCTAATTCTATCGAAAAAAATTGTTATCAATTCTTTTAAAGAATACATAAATACAAGTAATATAAATTGTAGAAAAAATTATTAGTCTATTATTGAAAATAAATTGCGTAGTTCATTACCTGGGGACTACATTTAAGAAAATTGTTTAAAAATTTTAGACCGATCAGTTTATCTATTTTTGAGAAATAGAATTCACCGACTTCAAAAATACTGTTCAAATATATAGTTCGAAAATATTTATCGAATTAAGTTTAATTTTTGAAAGGACATCCACATATATACATATGTTGACTAAAATAAAAAAAAAAATTTTTATTTTTTAAAATCCTAACTGCGTAAACCCCTAAATGATGATTTAATAACGGTTTACTTCTCTTCTTATTTACATTGTTATTATATATGAATAAGTAATTATACAGTAACTGCATATTACAATTTTAAATATTTACTGGTAGAGTAGAAGGGTATATTGTATTCGTGTGATTGTATGTTATATAAAAAAGAAATCATTTCAGTATCATTAGCTGAGTTGATATAACTTTGCCCATCTGTCCGCATAAACGCATGGGTCTGAGACTATAAAAGATAAAACTATCCAATTTTACTCCATTCCCGCCCCAAAAACTGAAATCTTGTAGGGCCATTTAAAAACTTTTTGAAAAATGTTTTGATGCCAAACTTTTTCAATCTATAACCAAACTTTCAATCTAGTTGCTAATCTACTAGGTGCGTTCCAAAGTAAACAGGACTTCAAAAAAATAAGACAGAACAAATAGTTTTTTCGGCAAAATTAATTTTTATTATTTAAAAATTCTCTTTTTATTCTCCTTCTGCTTCAACTCAGCTTTTTTGCACGGTCGAAAAGCATGTCGAACGAGTGTTTTGGCTCGTTGCCCGCTATGGCCGCCAGTATGCCGGTGCAAGCCTTTTGAATGATCTCTGCATAACGCTTTCCTTTCATCGGCAAGTGCATTTTTCCGAAAAGGTAGAAGTCGCACGGTGCCATATAAGGTGAATACGGGGAGTGATAGATGCTTAAAATTTGATTTTTGGTCAAATAGTCGGTCGCAAGCATCGATCAATGAGACGGCGCATTATCGTGCAACAAACTCCAACTTTCAACTTCGCGATATTCGGGCCGAGCACGTCGAATACGGCACACCAAACGCTTCAAAACTCCAAGGTAGAATCCCGCATTAACGTTTTGGCCGGGTGGAACAAATTCTTTGTGGACTCATAAGAACCTTGGAATCCTTGCACCCTTGGAATCATAAAAACAAATCAGCATTGTCTTCACTTTTGATTTCTCCAGGCCCGATTTTTTGTGTTTCGGCTCGGGATCATATTGAAAAAACCACGTTTCGTCACGAGTCACAATCTTATAAAGCTGTGGTCGGCACCCCAATACATTGATATGATTTTACCGCATTATTGTTAGTAACGAATATCAGAAAGTAGGCTGTGAGCATGACGTTTCACACATTTATACTGTGTGTGTGTGGCAGAGCTCTGGCAGAGAAATTTCCTATGCCCCCGAGATAGGGCCGTGCCGACCTCTGTTATAAAGGAAGTTCGGGTCTTTTTTTGCCTCTTTAATGATGTCCTTCGAATGTTGAATTCTGAGCAATTATTGGACGTCAGTCAATTTACGCGGAACAAACCGTGCACCCACCTTTTGTAAGCCTAAATGTTCGGTCCAAATGCGATAAATCGATGTTTTGGAGATGTTCAATTCTATTTCCATGATTTTTTATGAATTCATGGCAGTTTCGATGGAATTTTCGGTGATCACGGATTTTGGTTGGCCACATGTTCATCGTCATTTATGTCCTCACGACCACTTTGAAACGTTGAAACCACTCTGCACTCTGCTACGAGATAGGCAATCAACGCCATAAACTTGTTTCCTCAATTAAAACGTTTCGGTAAAAGTTTTACCAATTTTAAAACAAAATTAAATCTTTGCTTTTTGTTCGAAGCTCATTTTCGCACCGATGACAAAAACATACTGACGCTTAAAACGCAATAACTTCACTTCCAATAGATGAAATGTCATGCAATTTTTACTGGAAGTCGATAAAGGATAGCAGATTCTATCGCACCAGTTGATATATAGATGGCGCCACTAGAGGGCGCTAGATTCAAAAAGTCCCGTTTTTCTTTGGAACACACCTTGTATTCCAAAAATTAAGCCATATTGAATAATTTTTTGAAGAGTTATAGACTTTTTATTCTGTTACCCTACATAATTGCTTCAGTTATTTCCAAAGCAAAGTATGTAAACAAAATTTTGTTTATTTTTGTTTATGTTGACAGTCTTTTCTTTCAAAAGTTAAGGTTTAAAAATTACTTTTAAATTAACACGTTAAAGTTTGAAAGGAAGAGATGAGTTCCGGTCGGTAGTCGTAGAGTACAAGTGAAGATTGTATTAGCGTGAATGTATGTAATATACAGAGGGAATCATCTTCGACCCCATACAGTGTATATATTTTTAATAAGCATTAAAAGCCGAGTCGATATAGCCTTGTCCGTCTGTCCGTATTAGCGCGTGGAGTTCAAAGACTATGAGAGAGAGTGACCTATAGGATTTGGAGACACCTAAATTACCCGCGGCGTTCAAATTTATTTAATATAGTTGCCACGCCCCCTACCACCCGCACAAATTGCACACAAATTTCTGTAGCCCCAGTTCAGGTATTTTGAAAAGTCTAATTTCTATCTCGCAAACAAAATTCAGACAAATTGGCCGATTTTTAAAGCCATTTCCATACTAACGTGTTAAAATATAAAATCCTTGGTTCCCGAGAATATAAAAGATAAAAATATCCGAACTTGGTTATAGTATCCACGCAAATTAAGTTTGTGTCAAAATTTGCCGCGCCCTTTTCTACTTCTAAAACTGAAATCTTGTTGTAGCGCCGTAGTAGAATATTTTCAACTTTAACATTTAAGATATTCACA